GAGAGAGAGAGAGAGAGAGAGAGAGAGAGAGAGAGAAAGGATGAAAGAGAAAGAGGAAAAGGAAGATAGGAGACTTGACTGTGTGTCGTGTGTGTACGTCGTCGTTACGCACGTTCGTACTGCGGGGCGCGAAGAGAAACCCCCGACAAAGTGTGTGCCCGATGCGAGCGCGCGGCGTCGACTGATTGCCGATCGAGCGTCTACGCGCGAGCACATGGCCGCGCGCGTCGACCCCCACCAGCGGCGATCGGCGGGCTCCGGGTCGCCGCCGCGGACACTCCGGAGTCGTGAGGCGACGGTGTGTTTTGGTTTCGCGGTGTCAGGGCTGCATTTTCGGCAAATTTGCGACTCAGTCCCAATTTCGGATTATCGATGATTATATTAAGAAAGTATACATATTATAGTGAAAACACAGAACAATTCTTTCTATACTCTTTACTTCTTTTGCAATTATATTGTAAGATTTAGATTTATTATACTGCTAATAGAATATTCACAAACAATGCGAACATAGACATTATTAATATAAAATTAGTTATCTCATAAATCATCATACGGGTACGTAATATTTGCCGACATATAATTGGGATTTACGCACAAAAAAATGTTTGCAATTATATTTTTATAATTTAGAATCAACTGATTTCAAGTCTAGTGATTTTATTTTAAAAATGCTAATTGCTTATATTAATATCAACAGATCGTCTTAATGTTCGACAATTCGACAAATTTATATGAATGATTGATAGTTACTCTAACTTGAACTGATCCATAATTAAGACCCATAAGTAGGATCGTTACCTTACTTTAGAAAATTCATTTGAAATATCCTTAGCGCCCGAAAAATATAATACCAGGGTTGTGCTGCAGATTTCAAAATTACCTGGATTGTTTACGTAATTTTTATGTGATATATATACTTTCATTCTTTTCATTCATTCATGTAGACAATGTAAACTATGCAAATATTGTAAATTATATTAAATATACAGAAAAAGGACTAATGATATCATTAGAAAGAAAGAGAGAGAAAGAGAGAGAGAGTGAAAGAGAGAGAATTCTGAGGACCCAAGCTTCTTTAGAGAAAACAAAATCCTTAAATTTACATCAAAATTCTAAAAATTAAATAAGAATATAAATTTTTTAAATTATTTTTTAACAAGTCATACGTTCTTCAAGCAACATAGATTATACATTGTTCACATAGATGATACCTCATACATAGCTATCATAATTTACACGCAAACGTCCAACTTTAATCTCATCCTTAGTATGCGAATCCTTTAGCCTCAAGAAGATTTCTCTAAAAAACTAAAAGGAATATATTCTAAGCGTAATATTCTTAGAATTATACAGGAACTTTATCTTTTGTCTGTTATACAAACCTTGCTTGTCGCGTCTTTTGTATCATAAGAAAACATTCTCAGGTTGAATTTCTATAATATTCCTCTTGATTGAGAAAAATAATATCCAGTAGATTTCAAACTGATACAATCTACTTAAAAGAGCAGTATTCTTTCGGCAAGAGTCCACTTAGAATATAGGATTTAGGAAACAGCACCTTGCAACTAGAGTTCTTTCCTTTTTGTTAGGATATCGTCCTTTTGATTTTAGAAAAGTTCTCTTCAATATATAATATATAAGAGACTTCCGCTAAGGATGAGATTATATTTTTTAAAGTGATGAAATATATAGAGACGGATGCGTTTAACACAGTGTGTGAATAAACGAGACATTGAATCGTCGATATCAAATTTATGCTCCAATCCTGAAACTTGGCACCGTAATCGATAAACAAACAATGCTTCAAGACGCTGTCGGCGCGAACGAAACTTTTCTCGACGATTTTGTTTCTCTTATACGCTCGTGTCGTGTAGAGATTTCTCTTGCAAGACCGATGCTCAATAAACACAAAAGCAAAACGTCTCGGAACGTGCGAAACGTGCAAAATGCCGCAGAACGAAGAGCGGCTGTTAATAATGTCCCATAATCTGATGCTTGCGATCAGAACCGGAGATGCAACAGACATCGGGCTTTGATGCCAGGAAGCGCGACGTAACGGGCGTTGACTTGCTCGACGAAATTAAGGGATATGCCATCGCGGCGTATAACTTATCTGAATCTAGCTGATTCTAACCGAATCCGGATCAACCGGCTCGCTAGCTGGTTGGCTGGCTGATTTCGATGCAATACACAGCCACCAGGACCACCGAAATTTGACGCGTGTCTACGTCAGAGATATACCGGAGATCCGATTCATGACTAATCCAGACCTAAACCGAGAGAGAGAGAGAGAGAGAGAGAGAGAGAGAGAGAGAGAGAGAGAGAGAGTAAGTCAGACGTCAACGTGAGCCGGAGGTGCACTCGAATGACGATGGACGTGAATGAAATAAAGAACAACAGAATGTTAGCATCGAGTCGCGTCTCGTACATGGTTTTACGACCGGGTCAGTACTGGGCCAGCAATGATTGCCAGAGTTGCAGTGTTGGACGCAGCACTGGATGACAACTTCGGCCCGACAGGCTGGCAGACGGCAGATTAGTTCAGACGTTGTTAGATAAACAGTTATACGCCAATGTTGGCTAAGTACTAGCTGGTAAAACTTTGGCCGACAATTGGCTGCCATACGTCAGCCAAGTGTCAGAATTCACTGTAACGCTTGGCTATTCAGCAGCCAAATATTTTCCAATGATGGGTCAGTACTGGTTGACAGAATCTTGGACAACATGTAGACGCCACAGCTTCGGCCAAACGTTGGCTTCATTGTCATGCCCGGCGATCCTACATGTGGTCGTTTCACGGAATGACAATCTCGCGGACGCGAGCAGAGACCGATCCGTGTGCCGAAATAATAAAGCCATTCTAATTAACAAGGAAGATCGATCGAATCGCGGATGGCCGCGAAATAAAATAATTATCGAACGCTCGCCGCGGAATTTGAAATAACGGACAGTGGAGGGCAAGGTTGGAAGGGAGAGGGACACATATCGGGACTCGCGCTTTATCGCTCGTTCGTGTGACGTTTTAATTGGAAAACTGTATTTTACGGCCGAGCCGATGCGGGTCGGATGTATATTCGGAGGAATTATAATTAAATACAGTTTAATTAGGCTGTTCCGAAGTTGGATGTACCACCCGGGAAACTGACCCCATCTAACTTCAATCCTGGGGAGAGCTCACGTCCGTCAGAGAATGTGGCTCCCGCCGGCTCGATTATATCACTTATTTATCGATATTACTTTGCGAATTATGCAAACTCCGACGAATCTGTCGCCGCGACAAAGGCTGTGCGCGCAACGTCTCTTTAAACATCCATCCCGACGAAGTGTCGAAGAAAACAGGCCGCGCGCGCCAGTACAAAGTCAAAGTTTATCGGCGAGCTCGGAACTGGAACGACCGACGACGTCGCTTCGCGGCCGGGAAGGCAGAAAGACAAACATCTTGCGTGTAAACACGTGTCGTGCTCTTCCATTCACTTTCCAGCGGCGGTATGACGTCGGCTATTCCATTTCCATGGCACTGAAATGTATACGGGATTCGCGTCTGAAGAGCTGGAAATCAATAGTTCAGGCCAGCTCTTTTATCTCTCGACGCGGTTACAACGCGCGTAATATATCAAAGAGAAATCTGGTAAGGTAAAAAATTCGCGAACACATACCTTAACTCCCTGGACATTCTTATTGTTTTGGTCTTTAAATATTTCAACCTCCAACATAAAATGTATATTTAATGTTGAAAGCTTAAATATCCGTTTAGGGATCAAAACAATCAAAATGTCCGGGATTAGATCCGGGCATTGGTTACTCTTTTACCCTAATCCTCGATTCACACACACACACACACACACACACACACACACAAAGATTGATGTGGGATTATTAAAACATCCATCGTTTGTCTCCGTTCTGAGGTCGGTATCGACGACTTAGCGAAAGCGCATGACTTGTGCGACGCGTTATATTACAGAGAAGACAGATATAATATCGACTGACGTGGGACAATATAATCGATTGATTTCAGATTGTCTTGCGCGAGTCTACGTGGCCAACGACAAGTAACGGTGCACGAGGTGCATTAGGTGCACTATGACTATGTAAATATTGACAACAGATTGACTCCGCGGGAACGACCATCGAATATTAATATTAATGTTCCGTAATTGCTCGCTAATTTGCGGTTTAATTTGCTTGCGAGAGATCGGTAAGCGTCCCGTGGAGATTCCCGAGCCGACGATCAGCGTTCAATCGACAGTTCATATATTACATGTCGGGAAGCAGAAATTAAGTCGGACCTCACGAGACAGCCATTTGTGCGCAATCGAGAGTCCCTTTTAATTATGACCGAACTTGAGCAGAGCGGTATTTCGCCTCGCGATTCCACGGAAGAGTTTAGTCGTTGTTCCGCAACTTTTAACAGTACACAGCGACGGACAGAGAAAAAGTCGAGAAAATCAACCTGGAGAAGTTGACGGAGGAAGGAATTCGCGATCTGCTCTTGACACCGTATTAATTCCATCGAAGTTTCGCTCGAGAGTCGGAAGGACACATCGACGAGCCCGGGAACAAAAGTTTCCCCATTCGTATCGCGGTAAAGCTCGCATTTCTTCACGCACGCATGCACGCACGCACGCAGCACGTGTGGTAAATTGAATCTCGCGAAATATTAGTTGGAACGAGTTTCGGCCAATGTCTTGCTTCTTCGCGGAATTCGCGAGAGACACGAGGAGGAGAGAGAGAGAGAGAGAGAGAGAAAATAGTCCGCGTCTACATCGAATTTTTTGACGATACTCTCCGCAGATCGAACGCGAACTTTCGAGACGCTCCCTTTGGTCGTTTTCTTCGAAAATCGCAGTTTCGAAGACTACGTGAAAGTAAGTTTCGGGGGGAAAAAAGATCGGTCCGAAGGAAAACCGTCTGGTAATGTCGCGCAAACTAGATTCTCGATTCGCGAC